TTTTATATCTTATTATATTTATATTTATATTTTATTTTTATATTTTTATATTTTATTTTTATTTTTATGATATATTATTTAAAAAGATATAAATAATTTTATATTAAAAAATGGAATATTAATAAAAATTAGTGAAATATTAATTGTGAGACATATTAATAGTACAGATAGAGATATTGATTTGATGAATAAAAACATACGATTATATTGGGAGATTAATTTTATAACGTGAACTATATGTTACTTTGTGGAATGCGTGAAATTATGCGCGACGACGATAAATTCTAAATTATACGATATATATTGTATGAGGTGTTTATTTTGCGATAAATAGTATAGTTTGTGTGGTATTTAATGGTTTAAATAAGAGCGGTTTAATTTTACAGGAGATGTTTTAATAGCATCAATTGAATCGATAAATCGGAATTATGTTGCACAAATTACGTTATTAAAAATAATATATTTAAAAAATTTTTACAAATTACTTATTTATTTTTTATTTATAATTTTTTTGTTATCATAGTAGCATTAATATTACACAATATATAATTATACTATTATCTTGAACTACATATATCATCGCGTAAAATTTTATTAAAAATTTATTAAAATTTTTCATATTATACTTATTACAATGTTAATATTATTAATATATAATATACAATGTTAATATTATTAATATATTATAATATTGTATTGAACGGAAAATGATCATCAATTATCGAAGTTATATAGTATTCTGTGCACGCATATAGAGATAGCATTGCTGATTGGAATGAAAGATAAGCGAGCCTCTTTTGAATGCGAGTGCGATTTCGCGCGAAGACAATCTTGTCACACAAGTCGGTCGGTTATCTCGACACGGATTTCCAAAATAGTCGTAATTATAACGTTCTCGAGAACATGTTCGCTGATAGAAGGACACAGTAGGTGTAGCAAGCAAACATGGCATATCCCAACGATGATACTGGTATTAGATAACGCTATATGCGGTAGCGGTTGGTTTAAATGTTCACGTTGAACAATTGCCTCAGCCATGTAAATTAGTTGGAGAAAATATAGAATTTTCATATATTAGTTGACGACTTCTCTCAATTATGTAACATATAACTTTATATAACATATTCTTAAATGTATATAAAGTTCTATTAAATAAATTACTTTTTATTTAAAAATTTTGTTAATGTATTAATACAAAATGTCCTCTAATTAAAGAAATTGATTCCTCCAAACTGATTAATGTAAATAATTAGATCAAAAAACAAAAGGTGCGAAATAAATTAATCGAACATTATATGACATACATAAAATAATAAAATGATTAGTATACCTGGCCAAAACTTTGCTTTTACTATTTATTTTATTTTTTACCTTATGATAATATATTTTCCTTTAGAAATTTGCATTTGTAGTAAAAGTTATGAATAATATTAGAGATGTTATTAAAATCTTAAAGCATTTTTATTAAAGCAGTTTTAAACAAATAAAATAATTTACATGATATTTGTGGGAAAATAACCTCTTTAATCTTACTTATATTGTTTGATCTCTATTCTATAATATTCAATAATATTAAATAATATAAAAAATTAAATTAAAAAAAAGGAATTAAATTTTATTTTTTGGAAATTAAATATATATAATTTTTTAAATTTTAATTAGAGTATGATATATTTTGTATCACATATTTTGTCAATACTTATTGATTTCAAAATACTCAAATATAGCAGAGATCTCAAATTAAGTGTTCAAAATGCTATAGATCTACATACAGATTGGAACAAAAACACTAGGGCGCCGCCTGCTCGACGCGTTCTATCGCGACCTCAATGTATCTCACCCACCCACGCATTGACCTACCCTAACTCGGCGCTGCACCATTGAGATGTTGCTCAGCTGCAGCCGCGTACCTCGAAGGGCTGTGCGTTACGTCATGTTCACAGTCAACCGTAGTTGGCACGCGACTTCACCCTACGCAGGCACTCGAGTTTGATTTATGTACCCTATGGCGTTCAAGCGGATAGCATTCACCGATGCGAACGCCGGCAGAATTCTGTATAGAAATTGTAAAATTTGAAAAAGAAAAATTTTTTAAAATAAAAAGAAATCATCTCCAATATATATTTTTATCTCCATATATTTTTTATTTATTTTCTTTTTTATGTATTTAACTATTTTATATTTTTAACTTTGTTTTATATACGTATTAGTTTTTTCGGTACACTTCTCTACAGTATTCGTCATCGGTGACATTTTTAAAAATAACACAACCAGATTTATATATTTGTATCATTGTTTAATAGATTATTTACAAAATAAATATAAAACTTTGTTAAATATTTTTTTAGATGAATTATATCTTTTTGTTTTTTTACAATTATTTATATATACTTTTGTAAAAAGAATTTTTAGTTTTTTTCATAAACTATACATTATTACAAATTAAATAATAAATACTCTCATATTTTAAATATCTATTTATTACACGTATTGTTACATTTATATGTATTTTTAAATTGACAAAATAATTTTAAAAGAAATTATATTTTTCTTAATTGCATGATAGGATATTTTTAAAATAAAATAGATAATTATCAAAGTTTTTTTGAGTTTGAGATAAAATTATTTTAAAAAGTTTATATAGAAAATATTTCTACAAAAAGAATAAAAATCTTGGAAAATATTTTTACTTTAATAAAATATAGAATGACTCTTTGCAGTTACATTACTTAATATAAAAAAGAATGTTTATCTATCTGAATTCGATAATAAGTTATTTCAATTCTTAGTATATAATGTTTATTTTATTTTATTCTATTCTTCTCATATTTATAATATATACACACATAATATTTACAGAAATGCAATCGCACTTTATTTTCTTCCTGAGTGTGTGACAGTGTTGATAGTGTTGATGTTCACCGGCATTTCTAAAAAAATAGCCAATCCTTTTTATTTTTTTCTGCGCGAAGCATCGACCGGAAGCAAAAGTGTTGACGTGCCAAAAAATTGATTTCAAATGACATCTATGAATGGCAGTATCATACCACGTCAAGTATTTAATATACAAGATATCTGCAAATAGCATACAGTGGAATAACAAATATTTATTTTTTAAGTAATTTTTATTTAAAATTTTCCTTTTCAAACACTTTATTTATATAAATATAACTGCATTTTTAAATATTGTAGTTAAAGTGCTTTAAATCTGCAAATCATTATTAAAAGAAAATCATTTAAATAATAAATTAAAAATTAAAAAATTTTATTGAAGTGTCATATATGTGCGCGCGCGCGTGTGTGTGTAACTATTATTTGTATGTATATATGTATGTATGTATGTATGTATGTATGTATGTATATACTATGTAATTAATATTTGGTATATATATATATTTTTTTTAATATTATATTGAAAGTTTTTATTTCTTTTTCTTCTTCTATCTTTTCATATCAACTAAATAAATATGACTTATTGAAAGCATCATAACTGGATTGCATTTAAATATCGATCTTCAACAAATATTTGCGAGAATTTTATTCCGCGCAAAGCCATCAAAGCAAACATTATATATATGGAAAATTAAATATATTCGCGCATGTGTATATACACGTGTTTGCGCGCGTTCACACATGTATATTACTCATCAATGAAATAAATATACGGCTATTATTTACCATTTTAGTTAGTTACTCTGACTAAAAATATTAATTATATTCCTGCTTAAATTTTAATTAACAAAAATATTTATAAATTGTTTTTAAAGAATATTTATGTGAAATAGTTATATGCAAAATCAATTAATACATTATATGTTATTTATTATATATTAATATATATTTATAACAATTAATATTTTAATATATTATTAATTAGTAACAAAAAGTATAATTAATATACATATTGTTTCAAAAGTTATTTTTCAAAATTGAATTTTATTTAAAAATATTAAACATCTCTTATTACTGAATTTCTGATAATATTTCAATTTCAGATTTTGTGGTATTCATATACCAATTACGTTCAATATTATTTTTTGTATACGATATTCTCCAAAGCTTTTTATTTAATTATATCAATTTTTGTGTATGCAAAAATATAATAAATACTGCAAATATCACAGAATAAACTCATGATATTATATGTTTACTTATTAAATTTCTTAAATGATTGCAGAAAATCTTTCGGAAGTTGAGGTCGCAATAGGACATCCGTCTTTAATTTTCAATTCGATTTTCTATTAAATTAATAATCTTTAATATTTAATCCTTAGTCTTCATTCTTCGGCCTTTATTCTTCAATTCCTAATTTTCGCTAACATTTTATAATCATTATTGGAACTAACAAATCAATTTTATATATATATATATTATAAATCCTTTTCCTTTACAAGGAATCTTTCATATTAGCGTATCAAACCGGTTGTGAGAACATATAATATATGCATACTCAAAACTATAACTCGCGAAGATTATGCCAGGCGAAAAAGCTGGAGCGCCGCAAAAGCTCGATGTTAAGCTAAGTTTCCCTCTCGCATCAATGGCACGTACACAGAAGGGGTAGGCGTGGCACTCTGCGTCGGATGCTCGCGCGTGCACCCGACGCGAAGGGATGAGATGGGCACGAGCAAGAGGGTAGATACGTGCGTGCGGAATGTCGCGCGAGACGAAGATAGAGACGAGGACGGAGTTATTTCGCGAGATGAAAGGGAACGGACGACGCATGCGAGTGAGACGAGGAGGACAAATGAAGGAGAAGCGAGGAGCAAAAGAGAGAGAGAGAAAGCGAGAGGGATTGAAACCGGGGGTGAAATAGCGGGTAAAGGAAAGCGCTGCGAGGAACGTTCTTCCTCGTCCCATCAATGCGAGCGAGAGAGATGGGGAATGCGCGCCGTGAAAGAGAGAGGGAGCGTGCAAGTGCGAGGGTGAGCCGGATAGAGAGAGAGACGGAGATACAGGGCGCGAGACCGCGCGACGCTTTCAGTCACCGCCCGATCCTCGGCGCGCACGGTTTCGGAGTGGGTGTTTCTCTGTCGCGGAAGTATAATCGGCGATTTAAATGGAGGTCCGTCGTGAAACGATAGTCGTGTGATCGACATGCCGAGTAGGCACACTGCGAGAAAGTAAAGTGGTACAATTCTCCTGAGAAAATCGCGAAGTTTCGGAAAAAGGAGAAGTGCGCGAGTATATCGCGATATCGAGATTTCGACTGTAAAATCGACTTGTAAGAAGTGCGATGAAAATTAGAAAGAAAACTCCGAAAGAACCATGGCTAATGTGCTAAATGTCACTATCGTGTATAAATAAAAACTCGTGCAATCGCGCTCGAATGCGAAATAAATCGGGACCAATCGATATATAAATGAAGATACTCGTTATTTGAAGTGCAAGAATTTTGCGAAAGTTCGTGATCTTTAACTTATTTAGATTTTAGGTATTTTTAATCGAGACAGTATCGATTAGTCGGAGACTTACATCGATCATGTAGTTGCGAGACGGTGTCTCGATGATGAGAAACTGAATCGCGGATGGTGTTTTAGAATTAAGTGGTGCGAAAAACGACATTTTTCGGCAATTTTATTTGGAAACTCTTAGTGTATATATCTATAAAAGTGTAAGGTGAACGCGAATAAACGACCATCCCCTTCGGATTCATCTCACGAGATGAGGGTTCTTCAAACATTGCTGTCAGACTAAATCGAATTAGGTGAGCAAAATTCAAAAGCATTTTCCCATATATGTCAGCAAACGAATTTTTTGACAGGATAGGAAAGAGCTGTCAAAAAATTCGTTTACTAATATATAGTGTATATATTTTCAATTTTCTATTACTTTTTAATATTTTTACGTAGATTTTAATATAATTTGAAATGTATTACAATAGATTAGTGTGGAAAAGTGAAAAAAAAATTTTTATGCATATTTATAATTCAAATGAAAAATATTCATATATTTTCAATTTTCTATTGTTCTATTCCATTGTTTTTAAGTATACAGTGTATATCTTTTCAATATTCTATTATTTTTTAATATTTTCACGTAGATTTTAATATAATTTGAAATGTATTATAATAGATTAGTGCGTGGAAAAGTGAAAAAAAATTTTTTATGCATATTTACAATTCAAATGAAAAATATTCATTAATCTAAAGTCAAATACAATACACTATTATAGTTAATATTTACAATTAAAATTAAAATTTCACACACACACACATATATGGAGGGGAGACCGGGGACAAAAGTAACAACGTCATGAAAGTAACAAGCCTCGTAATAAATTACACAATATGTTGAATAATTTGTATATAATTTGTATATAATTTGTGTATTTTTTATATAATCAAATGCATACGTCCCGATTCTCTTCTTCTTCAGCTAATTGTTGTAGAACGATCGCGCCGATTGCACATGCAGGAGTGAAATTAGTGTATTTGCATTATTCATCTAAGTATTTTTTGTTTTAGTTTTTTTGTATCTATGCCTAACTAAAGTGTATATATTGACATAATTATTTGCCGGTGTATTCTTCTAAAATGTATTCATAAGTTTTTATAATTGATTTGGCTAAGTCTTGCATCATATTTAGGTTATAATGCTGTGGACGAAAGTAATAATGCTTAAAGTATAAGGGCTGGTCCCATAATAACTGTACCAAAGGCAGTTCTTATTACGTATGCCATAATTGTGATTCGGAATAGATATCAATCTCTTTTGTATAAGTAGTTATCATGCAATTTTTACACTATTATTTAGAATTAAATTATTATTTAGACTTAAAAAACTACAAGACTGGTGATATTAAGTATAATTATTTTATGATATTATTTATAATTATTTTGCTTAACGAAGATTATTTCTTTTAAGTTTTTCAAAGATGATAAAAATAAATATTTATTTTATTTTTTATTTTAATATAATATAATACAAATTTATAAAAAAAGTTATCATGCTTAATAAAAAATTATAATAAAAGTTGCCTTAAATTGAAAAAAAGTCATATTTATTTTATTTTTCCGAAACTAAGAACTGGTACTTTTATCCCCAGACTATGTTACTTTCGTCCCCGGCCCCCAGGATAAAAGTAACAATCAACGTACTTGCAAAAAACTATAATAGCTCTTTAAATATCTATCATTTGAGATTGAGACAATAATAAAAATTAGATATAATAATAAAAGTTTTAATAATAGGAGCAATAAATGGAGTTTTTTAACATATAATCTTTTTTTTATATCTTTAACGATAATTAATTAGTGACCTATAATACAAAAAATGTTATTTTTGTTCCCGGTCTCCCCTATATATGTATTTTCTTCAGTAGTATCTTACATAATTTTCTAAATTTATCTAATAAATTTTTGTAAATTTACTTTTACAATTTACTTTGTAATATTACATTTGCAAAATTAATACAAAATTCATATGAATACTACTTTTGTCTGCAGTCTCTATAGTAGCATTTAATTAACTTTAAATTTGAACAGTGCTTCTGTTCAACATACTCTGTATTAATATCGTTACAATGTCAATTTATATTATTATAGTTAAAATTATTATTATAATTATAAACTAGCAATAATGCAAATTAGGATATCTTTAATTAAAAATTATTTATCTCAACTATATTATAAAAATAATATAATTATAATAATAATAAAATATTAATTTAAAAGAAATAATTTCTTAAGATATCACAGAAATATGTGTCAAGTAAAACGTATTAAAGTGTATTTACTTTAATAACAAAATACATGCTGTTTCTCAAAGCTTTTCGTAAAGCTTTTAGAAAGCTTTTTGAAAAGTGTGTTTTTTAATTTTTCTTTATAAAAAATAAATAAAAAAGTTATTAATTTTAACGCAGTAATTTTTCTTCTATCTTTTGCATTTCTAGGCAGATCTTTGAGATAACAAATTGCAACAATTATTATTATAAAAAAAATCTGAATAAAAATCTATAAAAAAATAAAATGAAAAAGAAGTAAGAAATTTCTCATCAATATACTGCTTACTTTTTCCACACTTTATGAATTAAAAATTCAAATTTTTTTAAACTCTATTTTTGGGAAGTTTTAATATATCTCGATCGATTTGTACTATTTTCGATATTTTAATTATTATTCGTAATTTATTTCTGTCACAAAATTCGCATTTTCTTTCAATCTATATATATAAGAATTTATAAACGATAACATAAAATTCTCTAAAATTCACGAGGTCATTGCACATAAAGAACGATCGTTATAAATAATATGATGTTAATTGTAAGAGAAAAACTGCGCGGTATAAATTTATATCAATATTAGAAATGAATTATATCCAGTTTTGTATTTTCGCGTCTGACTTATAAGCATGACTAGTCGCGAAATAAACAGACGAATGCGAATGGGGTGTTCTAAAAGTGTCGGCTGAGACCCACGGATCGACCGACGAAGGAGAAAATGTTATTTCGCTAATGGAAAGTGGGATCCGCAAATCGGCGGCATCGCGGCGTTCGTTCACTTCTTTGTCTTTTGGGGTCCGTTACTCCGTGGGCTTTTCAATTTAAAACGGCTTTCAAGAGGAACGAGGAGAAGGGTCGTTCGATCGATATCGAGCGGGCCAAATGGCACCGGTAAATTGGAATTGTTACCGATAACGACATTGTCAGAATCAGTCGTGGTTGCATGTCCTTAGAAATCATTCCGTAATTCAAGTATAACTTTTACCGAATACAAATCTTGCAGTAATGAACGACATTAGATTTTCGATCGCACGATGTCTTGTGAAACCATTGTTACGAATCTTGTTAGAGGTCACAAAGACTTCAGAAATATATAATAACCTTTCTTTTGATAGTGCCTCTATAAATCAATTTTTATAAAAATTTTTACACAACAGATACAAATTTTTTCCATATAAATATAACATTCGAGGAATTGCTTTCTCTTAAATTATAATAAAAACATATTTTCTGATATGAGAATAATATAATTGTAATACATTTGTAATATATTTGCAATACATACAAAATATACTGTAATATAATTTAATAAATTAATCATTAAATTTAAAATTATATTTTTCTGGTGGAATAATACTATAAAATATAATTTTATAAATAAAATTATATTTTTGTAAGAACAAATATATACGTATATACATATACATACATTATGTATGCACATCCACAATAGATAAGACACAGAAATAACTCTGTTTCTTCTTCGAAACATGAATAAAAAATATCTATTTTATATTTAAAATATCTATTTTATATTAAAAATATCTATTTTATATAAAATATCTATTTTATATAATGTTCTTCAAGATTTATATAGAGGCCTCTAAAATATATCTGTTTAAAAAATCATTAAAATTGCTATAGTTAAAATTGTAGTTTGATATAAAATTCCTTTCAATTCTCTCCTCGGCTCTTTCTTTCTCAGCTCGGCATATACATGGCTGATTTTTAATTAGTTGATTCAAGCTGAATCAGTTGCGAAGTTCGCAGTAGCATCAAAGGCAAACTCGTAAATCCCGTATCATTATTACGACATTCGTTAGAAACTTCCGGTCTTGTCTTTGACGTCGCCGAGTTACCGCGCGCACTTCCAGTTTCGTCATATCGCACGGTTGATTCAGTATATACTGATCGCACAGTTTCGCTGTTATGGCCGTAACGTCGCTTATTGCGAAAAGTTATAGCTTTGCCGGCGCGCGCACGTTCGAAAATGTACATATGTATGTAGATGCAGCGCGGAGAGAGAAAGGAGAATTTTCATAAATTCTGATTAACGCGCGATAAAGCACACTATCCAAGATTATATATGCACTCCAGGTGATGATGCGTTTAAGTGCGAAAACAGTTAACTTGTCAAAAAGTAACGTAAAGTGTTCAATGCTGTGATTTACGTAATATGTACTTGGGTTTATAATTTTTATTATTTTTATTTTTTTATTTTTATTATTTATGTAGAAACTAACACGGAATTTCGTATCAATTGATTGGTCAAATTATTCGATTTACGAGGTATTACTATTTTTTTCTAACGAAATAATATAACTGTGAAGTTGTAGAAAGTATGAAAATGTTTGTTACTTCGCATGGATTATATAATTTTCACTTCTAAAATATGCAGTATATAACTGAATAACGGAATCTCTCAAAATAAAATCACCAAGATACCTTTAATATAAAATATATAAAAAATGTAACATATAATCTTTCTGTAAAAAATTTTTTTCTTAAAAACATCTATCTCTATTATATTAAATTTATTAGAAAATTATTCAAATTTAGTCGCAAGGTCTGCACATATAAAAAGTCGACACATAAGCACAAGAGATACAGGAGCAAAGAGTTAATTTCGCGCATTTATTCCGTCATAATGTTGGTTGTTGCGTTTCAGTAAGATTAATACTCGGATTAATACTACTTTATCGTGGCAAATAACATGGTAAAAATCATGATGTTGGATTCGTTATTTTTTTTAATGAAAATATTTTACAGCAGCCATAGCGAATACTTTGATATACCGGCAGAGTAATGAAATCGACTTTTTAATTAAGTAAAATTAGTGACACCGAACACTCGCGTAAATTATTGATACGCTCGAGAACTCTCGCGCAAACTGTCCGTCTCGTGCATTTTCATTCGCTTAACGCCTCGTGCGCAACGAAGAAGAGAACTTAATTATATAACGTTGAAACGAGAGAGGGAAAAAT